TTATGTTTCGTCACGGATATTGATCACCAAAGTTTGCGAGCTAGCACATCACATGTGGTTTGAATTCAGCTTGGGAGCTAAATTCCCTGCACAGGAGCATGACAAACATTCAGTTTTAACGCAACCTCAAAAAGAAATGCATTTTGTGAATTTCCTCATCCTTCTCTTTCGACATCCTATTCATTGTTAAATTTGCATTTTTCGATACACAACTGGTCACCGAAAATTGTTCATTCCCATTCATGTAAAATTTTTTCATAAAACTTTTTTTTGCAACGCTACCATAGCAGTCGACGCGTTTTTCCCTTTGCATGTGAGAAAAGGTCAAAACATACCCAACAAGAGTCTACGTCTTAAACTGTCACTCAAGAGCATTCGTACTTCTAACGTCAAACTGCTTCAAGTTTAGTGCAAAAGATGGACCGCAGCCTGGGTTTATCACCGGTTGTAGCCGGCATATCGTTGTTAGAGGTTGTAATGAGGAAAATTCTGTGCGAACAAAGTTAAACTAATGCAGCAACTTAACGAACCCGATAGTATTCGGTTCCGGCACTTCAAAATGTTAAAGAACTATACTATTACGGTTTTTTTCATAAAACTTTCGTAACCTTTTGAACGCAACCTGTGCTGTGTTTCCAAAGGTCCTGTTTCCAATAAAATTATTTCACATATGCTTCGTCTCAAGAACACAACTAGTAACATATAGAAAACTAACAAAAGTAGCGGAAAAGAAAAAAAAAAACAATCAAAGAAGATATCAATACAGATTTCGAACGAAGTTAGTGCGTACTGAAAAAAGTGAAACAGAATAACTAAAAAAACGATTCGGTAGGTAAGCAAGTGACATGGACGAAAGACTATGTTCGCCAAGAAGCAGTGGCTCACATTATGCTGAGAGAAAGCCAAATGGCAAGCCGAGGTCACGCGGTACTCTGCTTGTGCAGCTACTGCTGTGAACTGTCGAAGAATGAAAGGAGAAAATACTTTTTGGCAAAACTAGCACTTTCATTTGGTTGCGTACCGTTGCTTTTAATATAGCATTTTTTCGTATTTTGACGACAAATATCACTTATCTGTGTTTTTTTTCGAGGATGCTGCCACTTCCTTACTAGCACTGGTTTTTCGTTAGCTACATTTCAGTTCCCTTTAGTGCTGAGCTAATTAAGTTTACGTGTGCCCAAGCGACTTTCCGTAACAGACTGGATTTCGTCTTCCAACGTTTGTACACGGATATTGGGAGAGGAGAAAGGTTGACGCCCGCCCTTGATAATTTATTGATGGGAGTGCGGGAAAGCGCGCAACGATAAAAGCTTGTTGCAGTTACTTTGCAGAATCACTTCAATTACTCGTCGTTTTTGCGAATCAACAATCTGCTAAATATGGCTTTCTGTACTGGCTCACCAGGAATAAATGATAAACATCGTTTATTTGACTAGCTAGCATGTTCGCTCAGTCCTTCATCTTTACCATTTTTTGTGCGTGAAAATGGACGTGACACGTCAATTAAACATAAATGAGGGTTGTCCGGAACAATCCCAAAAAGAACTGCTCGGATTTGGGGCGAAGACATTAGAAAATACGTTTTCAAAATTTCGAATGAGTGGCAGACTTAGCTGAAGTCTACCCGTCCACAATCGAGCACTTCATATTCACTGTCACTGTCAATAGCACTCGAGCGACCCGGTGGCTGCTCTTTTTCCATGCTTGTCATCGAAACGTGTCGGATGAAATCACTAACAGCCGGTGTTTTCGTTGTTGTCGCTACGTCTAATATCTCCCGATCTAGAACAATCGGCGAAAATGTCTCGACGAATTCATAGGAATATGGTGGTTCGATGATATTCAAAACTTCCAAAACAAAATATCTGAAAAATTATGCGTACATAAAGGTAGCTTTCTAGTGCCTTTCAGTAACGCAAGTAAGTTATTTTTTGAAGTAAAATTGGGCTATGGAACTCCCTAAATAAGTTGGTGTTTTGAGGAAATACTGCCTGGTTTTTCTGTCAGATTTTTTCCCGGTCTTTCTAAAATTTTACAGTGCAAGTAAATTAACTGAATCAACGCATGCGTTGGCCAGTATTCCTGCCTAATAGCTCAGTGCTGTTAAATTATATATTTCCATGAAAAGTTGGTGAAACATTAAAATTTAATTAAACTCTCCTGTCTTCTCCATGTATTTTGTTCGAGTAATTTGTAAAATTTATAAAATTTCATGTTCGTTTGAGAATTCGAATCAGTTGTGCTGCTTGGGCGCAACCACGTAACAGGGAGCACCACTGGCTCTGAGTAGTACGTCTCCAGTACACATCCACAGTTCGTGCTGTGTTTGGATAACACTACCCTGTTGGTCGTTTAATTAGCTGTCTTCGTTCTGGTAAGTACCACTTGTTAAGAGGGAAAGGCTACTGGACTGCTAGTAAAGTGAACAAAGTGGCTCGCTCGTCTGTAAGAGTTCGTTCTGAATTTTGATCGCAACTGCTCATCTGACACGGTATCTGCTTGATTATATTACTTACAGAGGGATAATTCTAGCAGCAAATCATTGTGAGAAAATGCAGACATGAAATCTACTATTGATACCGTTGTGCGTACTGCGAACCGCCCGCATGATAAAATCCAAGATTTTTTTGCGCTTTTTTAACGAGCGTCAGAAATAATTTGCTGGGCAGCTAACCGCACAAGAGAAACGTCGATTTGTC